CCCCAAAACCCCAAAACCCCAAAACCCCATCTTATTATTTTGATGAAATCAATTTGAAAAATTAAATCAAAATCAATTGTGAAAATTCTAATTTTTAGTTGGCTATATCATAGACATGCCGCTTGGTGGCATATTGTATTCAGATGACTCTATTTCCTTTGCATGATTTTTGTTGTACCTAATCTTTGTTTTAATTCTCTCACTTTCATTTAAATCGAATTCTTTTTTAGAAATGTTCATCGATTATAGCTTAATTTAGACCTATTAGAACTGCTATTATATGCCTTCTTGCTTTTTTGGATTGATTTCCATTGTCTTTAGACCTAACTCAGAGATTAAAGGAGTATTTATAGATCCTCTTGCAAAGTTGTGTGGAGTATGACTTAAAGTTCTATCACCCTTTAAAATTGAAAGTGAGGGCCTCGTGGAATTAAAGAACTGCCTTTGATTCTTTTTTCTCCTGTCTAGAACACTGCTATTCTCAGTAAATGTTGTATACTCATTTTATGATGCGTATTATGTCATAGACAATTAATCTTTTTTGTCCCTATCATCTATCTAGGACACTTAACCATTGATTTTTAACTCCATTATTTGTCTCATTCTTATAATTTTATCACTCATTATGTTAAATTTCTTGTCATACATTAAGAACTGCTTGTCACTGTCTTAAATCTTTTAATATAGTTTTACAATATCCTCCATTATTTTATTACGCTATGACTCCTCCTCCTGATAATCAGCAGTTCTTTTCTTTTCAATATCTTCAAAATCTTAATGAATTGTTTGAATATATATTTATTATTCTTTTACTTGATGTTTAATATAGGACATAAAGTGGTCTAATTATCGCTTATAGATTTCCTTAAACTCTGAAAATTCTTCTTTGATTCTCAGGAATTTTATTGAGTTTTCTGATTGTACCGATTCTTCATCAGATTCCATCTCGGACTCTCTTTGCATGAATTGCATTTCATTTGGCTCATTATTGTCTCCTTAAGTGCTATTTTATATATTTCTATTCGTATTTGTAATTGGCATGTTGCTAATTGAGTTTTCTGGCGAGACAGAATAAGTTTTGTGCATATTTGATTGCATGTTATCTATCATTTTATTCATAATGTCTCCTCCAATTACTGTACCTCTTAAAGATTGATTATTTTCCCTATTATTAACTGAGGGCTCTTTCTGGACTTACAAAGAGCTTTAAAATGATTGGTATTTGAACTGCGGCTATTAATGTTTTTCTAAAAAATTGTCAATGTATGATATAACTTACACATATTTGATAAATCTACAGCAGTGGAAAGCCTCTTAGAAAGAACCTCGTTTATTTTCATTATGTTATTAAAGATACTTCCTTTACCATCATCATTTAAAAGCTAGTCAGTTATTTCATGAAATATCTTATTTTCTTAGCTTTTTAGCTTTTGCATTGTTTCCTTGTTCACGAATAGCTTGATGTTATCCATCACTATTGTTTATATTTTAACAGGAACATACTTCTCGCAGTAGTTTTCGATAGTGATTAGCTTATTCTATTAATTTACTGCTACGTCATCCAATTTCGCCATTAATTTATCAAACTTATCGCAACATTCAGTAAATCTTGTTACATTTAGCTTGGTTTGGTCTAAAACTTCAATTTATTAGCTCATTTGAAAAATTTATTCCCTTAGCTAATTAATTTTATCTACAAAGCTATCGCTAGTTTCGCTAATGGAAAGAACGCGAGCATCTTGCCTAATTTATTCATTTACAATCTATACATCTTAAGAGGTAAAAAAATACTTTTTGGATTTCAGAGTTGTATTCCTTAAGGTCATTTAGAAATAATTCTTTAGTTTTTCCTACATGGTCACTCATCAGTGTTTTGAAATTCTGCATATCATCGAATAGATCCCCAAGCCTTTATTCATATTTATCGTAATAATTTGACTAGAGCGGATTGAACTTAGGAAAGTAATACTTACATATTGCTTAAATTAATCCTTGGTATTGCTCAGTATTTCTTCATATTGGGAAAGCAATTTATTTTAATGTTCTAATTTATCATTAATTTCCATATTCTTTAGTTTTCTTTCATTTTCCTATAGAAAAAGTTGGTAGCATTATGCTTACAATTTCTGTTATTTTTTGGAATATAGTATCAAATAAATTAGGAGCCTTTTGGTTTTTCTTATTATTGAAGTAAGAATACTCTATGATTTCTAATCTAGATATGAAATCTTGGGTTTTCTTGGAAATTTCTAGATATCTTTCTTTTTCCTCTTCATTTTTTTGTAAAACTGGATTTAGTATTTCTCTCACCAAAGCTCTCATCTTCGTTTCAAATTAGAACCAGTCAAGGTCTCCTATTAAATAATAATGGAAACTATCCTTGGAAAAGTAACCTACTTTCATCATACTTGTTCTTATAGCTCATTATTTTAAATATATTAAAATTGCTAATTTTACTTAAACCCTTTAACTGAACTTTAATCAAATTTATTTAAGCATTCGAATTAATACCAAACTTAATAATGATTTGAGGTATATCTATTATAATTTTGAAATCTTAAATTTAAATGTAAGCTTTGAAAAAGTATCTTCCGAAAGAATTTATACCTATCAAGACACAGATTCATTAAATTGAATGTGCCCAGTCATGGTCTTAACTTACTAAGACAGAGAAGCTATATGCTTACTATCTTGCAAGAGCCTCATGGGAGGGAGCAAAAATCTGTTGGTTCTAGAGATCTTACGAAAGCCCAGCACTTTTGGTCCTCCTGAAGCTGATCTTCTCTTAAAATCTGGAATCTTTGAGGGAAAAAGCTCTTGCCAAACAACTAACTGATGATGAATGGAGATAGATGCTTGCATACAGTGCTGCAGTATTTGACAATCATGGAAACTATAAGTCATTTGGAGATTCCAAATTTGTTCCAGAATTAGAATCAGAGAAATTTAAAGTTGTAGTTGAGTCTTCAGATAGCTATCAGACGCATAAGGAAGTGATAGATAACATATTGGGTCTAATTGAAGATGTCATCTACTCTGAAGGTGAGCCAAATCACATCGGATTCCCAGATAAAAATGGTCAAACCTCCTACTACTCATCAAATGTTACCTCAGATGAATCTAGCAGAATCGATCAATTCTGCCAATCACAAAAGATATCACCCTTAAATACTAGATTATTTAAATTAGGGGATAATGTAATTTTAATTTTCCTAACTTTATCAAGGAATTCGAACTTAAGATTGCATCATTGAGATCAGATGCCTCGAAGACTCCTTACCTAAAGACTTACGAGTGGGAAGACCTTAAAATTCACGTTACTGCCAGTGATTTCAGCGATATCATGGGACAAGTTGTGTCTAACTTAGAAAAAGCTTACCACTACACAGCAAATGACAACCAAAGAAATATGGTTAGAGATTACATCGAGCATTTTAGATTTGGAGAGTAATTATGATGTGTTAATAAATTATAGTATTGAGAAGCATAAGGATTCCTAAAGACATTGGATCAAGGATGTTGGCCCAATTGTAGAGAGTGATATTGGATTCATTGAAACATACTTAGATCCTTCAGGAGCAAGAGCTGAATTTGAGGGTTTTGTCGCTGTTGTTGATAAGATCACATCAGAGAAGTTCAATCAGTTAGTTAAAGATGCTGAGCACCTTATTTCATTCTTACCTTGGGGCAAAGAATTTGAGAAAGATAAATTCAGTAAACCAGATTTCACAAACCTTGACGTATTGGCATTCGCTTCTTCAGGTGTTCCGATTGGCATTAATATTCCAAACTATGATGATATCAGAATGAACGAAGGTTTTAAGAATGTCAATCTTGGCAACGCTTATCCCAGAGCTAAGTCAACAAATATTAAGTTCTTGAAATAAAGTGATGTCGATCTTATGGTTAAGTATGATAAGGAATCACTTACACTGATTGTAGCACTTCACGAGCTACTTGGACACGGCACAGGAAAACTTTTTGTAAAGAATGTTGAGACTGGCGAGGTAAACTTCGATGAGAATATGAAGCATCCATTTAATGATGGAAATATTACTACTTTCTATTTGAGCACTGAGACCTGGTCATAAAAATTCGGAAAACTCCATTCAGGTTACGAGGAATGCAGAGCTGATACTGTTGCTCTTTACTTAATGCATTTCAAAGAGCCTTTCCAAATATTCTGTAAATTACATATTTTAACTTACTAAATTCTCAGTCCCCGACAGACAAGCAGAATGGGATGATATGTATTATGTTGGATGGCTAGACATGCTTATGGGAGGTATTAAGGGTCTTGAATACTTCTAGCCAGAGGGAAAGGTATGGGGTCAGGCTCACGTATTGGCTTCTTATGTTATTTTCGCAGTAGTTAGAGAAGCTGATCCAACTCTTGTATAATTCGAATTCACTACAAAGGACGATCAGGAATATTTCTTCATCCATTTTGATAGAGAGAAATTAAGAACAACTGGATTCGAAGCCATAAAGGAATTCCTTAGAAAGCTTCACATTCTTAAGTCAATTGGTGACTTTGATGAAGCCAAAAAGATGTTTGATCACTACTCTGAAGTGGATGAGACTCTCTTGAAAGTAAGAGAATTAGTAATTAAGCATAAAATTCCAAGAAGACTTACTATGCAGCCAAACTTATTCCTCAATCATGAGACAGGAGAACCATTCTATAAGGATTATGAAGATAGCTTTGAAGGATTTATCAAATCTGCTTGTGAAAGATATCCAGATCCATTCTAAGAGGAAGTTTACAGATAATGGCTACTAGATGTCCCTCATCTTAAGAGGCATAAAATATGATAATGCAATAATGATTTCTTTAAAATTTCTCAATGATTTGTAAGATTTTTCATTATGGGGTTTTGGGGTTTTGGGGTTTTGGGG